TCGCTGATTATGACGGAGATCGAGCTGCCCGGTCAGCTCGCGGGGGTCCAGGGGGCAGCGCCCCTTGGCAGGTCCGGGGCAGCGCCAAGGCGGGGTCGAGGGGCAGCGCACCCGAAGCAAAATGCAAAAATGCATTCCAAGTTGCCTGTCCGCTCGAGCGGACATACCAGCGCTCGAGCGGAGAATCCCTGGTTCCAGCAGTTTTGGTCGCCTGTAAAAATACTGAGACATGTGATTTCGCGCTCGAGCGGGCTCTCTAGCGCTCGAGCGGACCTTTGTTATATTTCGCGCATATTTTGCTGAAGACGCTCGAGCGGGCTGTTGGGCGCTCGAGCGGAGATCGCGGGACAGATTCTATAAATTCGCGTGTTGGGTCAGATTTTAGGATTACTACTCCAGATCTTCTTTTTGGGTTCTAGGGTTTATATCTGGGGAGACTTTGTGAGTTTTCTTTGATGTTTTTATTGAGTATTCAACTCATGGTTTAAAGAGAGTACATCAAAGGTTGTGTTTTGTTCTACAAAAGAGAGAGTTGTTCTTCGGTGGATTCTGAAGAATTCGAGCCTGAAGCTTCGGTGGATTCCAGAGTGGCTCATCATACAGACAATTCCGAGGTGAAGACGGGTTGGAAGAGGCACATAGAGGTTGGTTCAATTAGGCGTGGATTCGCTAGGTAATTGAGAGTATACCTGTGTAATTCCTTTAAATCTTCTTAGTGGATTGTTTTGTGGCTGTTGCCCGTGGTTTTTTGATCACAGTTGGAGGTGTCCAATTGTGGTTTTTTCCACGTAAAATCGGTGTGTCTCTTTGTCTTGATTGTTTGATTGTTTGATTGGGATTGTTATATTCTGCTTAAAATTGATACATAATCACAAATCAACATCTAAGGGATTTCTAGATTTTTCAAAAGCTAAACTAAATCCTAGGTTAATTACTTTCTAACCAAGCCAAAATCAAATAAAATAAAAAAATTACCAAAAAAGGAAATATACTAGAAAAAATCGAGGCAAAATCATATTCGTATAGACCAAGTTATAGATGAATCAATTACTTTTAAAAATGAAAATAGCGAAACTAAAGGCCTAAATTTTGGAATTCGCCCAAAATCCATTGTAGGCCATTCAAGACTGATGGGTCTTGATTGTCATGAAGTTTTTAATGTCTTGAACAAATTTCATGCCATTTTGAGCGCATGTCATCTTGTGTCTACTAGTGCCTTTTACTTTTACCTTATTTATCAATAGACGCTAGACAAATGTAAACAAGGCAAAGACAAAGGCCAAGAATATATTTTAGGCACACATGATTTTGATCTATATATTTTATATTTTAAGCATTTTTTTTTACTCATCTCCTTGAGGTTTGAAGAAAATACAATTAATAATCTTATATTTGTTATATAATTACACTGGCCTCCTGTGGATACTACATATTTCGATGCACCCACACGTCAAATTAGACTATCTCAAAATTGAGTATGAACCATCGAGATCTATAATGACAACAAATCATCTATCCCACAGTATCGTTGGCCCACAAGTTGCCAAAATAGATCGATTCGTATAAAAGAGCTGCCACCTATTTTTTATGGGAAGGTAGGAAACCATTTAACTCCATTTAATTTAGGATCTAATCCATTACAATCAAAGGACTTGGTTAGGGAGTTTAGTAGGTAAAAGAGGGGAAGGTCATTAATGTAAGCACCTCTCTTATCCAATCAAGTTCCATTTTTATTTGTTTATTTCTCAATATACTAATATCGTCTAAGACTTTTATCAGAACCGAGGGTTTACTTTCTAATTCTTTTGGGCCTTATCACAAGAAAGTTCTAGTTTGTTGTAAATGATTGAAATGTGCGCTTTTCAACCAATCATAAAAGCGCACATTTCAATCGTTTCTAATTTTTGCAGTTTTATTTTATGGGTCAGTATATGCTGTGTGATCTCCATCTCATCATTATCACTAAGACATAAGTTTTTTTGCAGGTTCATTGACATAAAACAATGCCACTCTGCCAGAGACAGCATAGTTATGACAACATGGAATATATTTTGGAATAACAATTTGTTACATCAACATTTGAAATGTTGACATATAGTGGATTGGCTGCATAATGTGTCTAATGACTACAAATTAATTGGTTCAATAATTTGTATTAATTCTTTGTTCAAATGATGATTTTTTTTTTTAACTTTTTATTTTTTGCCCTGGAGAGGACAACTTCCTGACTCAGTTGTGACTTTGAATACTATGTGATTTTTTTTCCAGCTTTGTAAAAATGTACTTTTCTATATTTTATCAGTGTTGTGCAGGTAAAAAAATATTAGAAAGGATATGTAATCTACTAACTATTGTTGTTGTTACCTTATTGTTCTCCAGCATTTGTTGTTGTGGAAACAAACTTTAGGATGTATTTCACTGTCTGTTTTATTGATTTGCTTTTATCTAATCATGATGAAAACTCTCGTAAGTGATCAATGAATAAGATATATATATATATATATATCAAGAAAATTGAGAAGTCATTTCCGCAAACCACAATTGGAAAAACCTCCCCACTGCAAACTCTTCTTAAGCAAGACTTTTGATCATTTAAACTTCCATGCCTTGCAAGGCCAACTTTGTATCATGGTGTGTTTTGAACCTTTGTCCTTGCATGCTAGACTACATTTGACAGTTAGGAAGCCACCTAGTCTGGTCAAAATCCATGTGGGCAATCTGTTGCAGTTGGAGGGATTTAGGTTTAAGAAGCCGCCTACCCTACTTGGAGTATTATTTAGATTTCAAATCTAATGCATATATTGAAAGAAGAGATGAAACTATTTTGAAATTGTTATACCATATAGTCTCATAGATTTTTTTTTTTATTTCTTCAAATTTACATGTTGATCTGTTTAAACTCGTCATGAAGTGGGCAGTAGAGAAAGAACAAGAAGAAATCAAAAGGGGAAATTCATTTAATAGTAAAAGGTGGTTCTCTAATCTTTGATAAAATTCAAAAATCTTCTAGCACACCCCAAAACATGAAATGGTAAGAAAAAAATGTTTGGGATGAGAGACTATATTTATTTTACTAGATTATTGGATATTTTTTAAAAAATAAAAATAAAAATTTGAAGTCATTATATTATTTGAAGAGCTGATTTTTGGTAATTTTGTATAGTTGGGTCTCGGGGCGAGTTGCTTTGCATCTGAACTCTTTTCTAGATTTTGTAGGCACTCTTCATGGCTAAGTGTTTGGTTGGTTGTTTTGGTTCTTGTATTCTTTGATGTTGTCTTGATGTTGTTTTAATAAAATTGTCTTATTTATCAAAAACAAAAAAATGAAGTCATTATCATTTGCCATTTACCAGCTTGGATTGCTCATTGTTCATATTCATTAAAATTTTATTCTTATATTTGCCATTCATTGATGAAGTGATCAATTTTCATGCTAAAAATACAAGGTAGAATATCAGCTTCCAAATCTTTTTGTAGCTGTAACTACAAAGGAAGCTTGTATGATGCTTTAAAAAATGCCATTATGGCCAAATAGGCAAGCATCAATGCCTATTTCTCTGCAACTCCATGCTATCTCTTGGGACCTTTTAAGAAAGAAAAATGCAAAAAAAAAACAAAAACCTTGGGCTGTTGTTAGTGTTAAAAAATGTATAAAATGTGTAAGAAGTATATAAAAATATGTAAAAATGTTTTGAGATATGTGAAAAATGTATTGAGATTATAAATATTTTGGCCTTATGTGCTTCTTATTGACAACCCTGAGGGCTATCATTAGCAGGACCCTCGAAAAAACCATTTCATCTTTTACCTGATAGAGTAGCTTAATTTACACTAATAGTAAAAGGAATCATAAAGTTTGATCCTTTACTGGTGTTTTTATTTAAAAAAGCTTTTGCTTGGTTGCTAATTTCATTTTATTTGTTATTAAGCAAATTCTCTTGACTTCTGGATGTTCTGTCATAGGAAACAAGTGTACATTGTGAATGCATAGGAATCTCTTGCCTGCAGCCTTGGGTGCTTTGAAAGCCAATGTTGGGGCATTGCTTGGTGCAGAGGTAAATGTTCAGGGTGCTGAGTGTGAGAACGAAGGTTCAAAATTGAGAGTAGCCACTTTATAAAAATAATGTTGAAGGTTAGGCCTATCTGATTCTCCAGTCTTCTCCTAGGACCCTCAATTAAAAGGGACCAATGCTACTATTTTTAAAAAGCCATCCCGTCATGTTCATCCAAATATTCTATCGACAACTTTTGTTTTGTTTTCTTCTTTTGATAAATAATTCTCTTTTGTTTTTCTTTTGTGGGTGGTTTTTTGTTATTTATTTTTTTTGTTATGTATGTTTTTGTGTGTGTGTTTGGGGAAATGGAGGGGAGGCGGGAGGTGTTGATAATAAACAGTGTTTATTGAGTTATAATTAAGAGCGAAATATTGACCTGTCGGAATATGGATGATTTGGATGGTTATGTAGGACTATCTTTACCACTTAAATGTAATATGTGAATATTGTTGCTCGTATATATTGTATGTTCCACCAAATATACTTTCAGATTTTCTTGTTTGTCTCTTCTATAAGAATATAATTTGCTTCTTTGAAATTTCAACCATTGTATTTGCAGATAATTTCTTTTCTTCAGCAGAAAATGCAGATTCTCATGTTTGCACAGAGAATACCCTCCGTAAGAGAAAATGTTAAAATGTTACTAATCAGGTTTATATTTTTCTCAATGTTAAAAGATACATTTAAAAACCCAAATATTTCCACTACTATTTAGATTCAATACATGTCAACTCTCAATCAAAAGTGAATTTGGTTATACTGTTTTTGTGAATCACCAAGTTCTTGAATACATTTATCCTAATTGATACCATTTTCCAAGTGAATTTTATCTTAATCTGTTTGACAATGATTTGAAATGCAACTTTCTTTAACAGATTAAGTTGTGTGAATCGGATATGAAAGGTTGGGATGATACCAATCTTTATGATGAGTTATGGGGTAAAAATCAAACTCATCTCACTATGCATTCGCAATGTACACTTGAAGAAATCATTTTATGTGTGTAATTTGCAAGAAGGGAATTGAACACCTGAAGAAATCATTTTATCTTTTACCTGATAAAGTAGCTAAGACTTTAGAGAAGTAGTTATTGAAATCACAAAGTTTGGTCCTTTACTTGTGTCTTTCTTTATTTGTTTCTTCTATTTGAATAGAATATGCTTCATTGAAATTTGAACCCTTGTATATGCAGATAATTTATTTTCTTGAGCAGAATGCCCAATTTCTTTTCTTCAATGGAATGCATAGCCTCGTGTTGCAGACAGAATACCCTCTGTACCAGCAAATGTTACTAATCAGGTTTACATTTTTCTCAATGTTCAGATACATAGACAAACCAAAATATTAATGCTACTATTCAGATTTAATATTTAGTATATGTCAGCTGTCAATCGAAAGTGAAATTTGGTTATGTTATTTTTGTCAATCACCAAGTTTTTGAAGACATATATATCCTGTTTTTAAATGATAGCATTTACCGAGTAATTTTATTTCTTAATCTGTTTGACAATTATTTGAAATGCAATTCTCTTTAACATATTAGGTTGTGAGAATTGGGTATGATTCGCTAGCTTGTCTTTTTGATGAATTCCCTCTCGGGTAAAAATCAAACGCATCTCCACTACAATTGCATTTCATGCATCTTACTTTCAATCTTTTATCAACTTATGGATTTGTTTCCTTATATTGCAGGAAGTTTTTGAGGATGCTCGTGACTTTGCACAATGATATGGAGGTTTGTTATGGGAAGACTCAACAAAGAGTACTTATATGGACACGTGAGAATTGAACACTTGAAAAAACATACCCTTTTTTTCCATTAGAGGATGCAAAATTACCAGATATGAATGAGAAAGAAAAAAAAAGAAGAAGAAGAAGAAAGGAGGGAAGAAATGTGAGAAAATGTAAAAAGTTGTTTGGCTGTTTAAATTGCTGCCTCTTTTATGCTTTAGGTAACTTTCACTTCCGTTTTGGTCCCAACTTTTATTTACATACTTGTGAACCTAGGTTTGTCATGCTTCTGTACTAGATTTGGGATGTTCAAATATATGAAAGTGTTACCTTTTCAATTACTTTCCCAATAAAAATTGGGTGCAGCTGTTTACTCCGCTCAAATACTCCTACATTCCCAAAACAAAAATGATTTGGACCACTAAAAAAGGACCTCTAATGCATCTCTAATTTGTCTTTTTCTTTCCTCTTTTTTGTCTTTTACTTCACTGTTTTTGTTTTTTTTTTTTTTTTTTATATATAGGTGACAGCTCATTAGAGCTGCACTGTTGCAGCTCTAATTAGAGCTCCGGAGCATGACCCTTCCCAAAATAACACAAAAATATATTAAAATCTTACCTAACCCATATTTTTTTTTTTGTGGTCATTTTGGAGTATTTGCGTCAATTTAGACCAAAATGACACAAATTGAAAAACTAAAGCACAAAATTGAGTAATTGGAATTACAGGAATCAAATTAATACAATGGAAAAATTAAAGGGACTACTAGTATAATTTTTCCAAAAAATATTTTGGTTTGCTTGGTTGTATATTTTGGAAATAGTTTTGGAGTATGGGAGTTTGAGATTATTGGATATTTTCATGGTGTTTGGGAACTTGGGTTTGGGATTTTTTTTTTTGATTTTTTCCACTACAAGACAAAAGTTTTACAAAACCAAAAAAAACAAATACAAACAAAATATCACATCCAACTCCATAATCATTTCATTTTTTCTCTCACAAACATCACATCTAACTACAAAAAAATCCAACTATCTTCCCAAACACAAAAATTTTTTTCTCCAATAATATCTTACAATTAAAAAAACCTACATAAAAACTCACTTCCTAAACACCCACTTTGTTATAATTGAGTAGATGTGTGAGAGAAAAAATGATTGGGAATGAGAGAGGAGAGAGAAAAAGTGATTGATTGAAAATTTCCAACCAAACAAGGCCGATGTAATTGGAATTACAGGAATCAAATTAGTACAATGGAAAAATTAAAGGGACTACTAGTATAATTTTTCCAAAAAACCAATGACATCATATATAACGTTCTTTTCCCTTTCAACAACTGAATAGTAGATTAATTTATATATATTCCTTTTTTTTATAACTTGTAAATTGTAAGTTAAAAAAGACAAAAGGATTTTCAGGTGGTCGAGGGCATGATACTTGCATTCAAGTTTTACTATTATGCAACGTGACTTCCCTTTTCTCTACCCCCTTCTATCGATTGTACAATAATAATAATAATAATTGTAAGTTAGAAAAGAGTTGTATAAGGGCATACAATGCTAAAAACAGGTTACTAGATATTTAGGTTTTGTGCAAAGGAAAATACATTAGTCTTAATTCTGTCCTCTATCTTTAGTTTCTCTCACAAATTACCTTTGATATGTATATATATATATATATATTTTCCATTAGTGGATTCATGTTGCGACTCTTGCTCTTTTAAGGTTGATTTGTTTTGTAATAAAATGGTTGAGGGCATGATACTTGCATTTAAGTTTTACTATTATGCAATGTGACTTCCCTTTTCTCTACCTCCTTCTATCGATTGTACAATAATAATAATTGTAAGTTAGAAAAGCGTTGTATAAGTGCATACAACGCTAAAAATAGGTTAATATATATTTAGGTTTTGTGCAAAGGAAAATACATTTGTCTCAATTCTGTCCTCTATCTTTAGTTTCTCTCACAAATTACCTTTGATATATATATATATATATATTTCCATTAGTGGATTCATGTTGTGTCTCTAGCTCTTTTAAGGTTGATTTGTTTTGTAGTATAATGGTTGAGGGCATCATACTTGCATTCAAGTTTTACTATTATGCAATGTGACTTCCCTTTTCTCTACCCCCTTCTATCGATTGTACAATAATAATAATAATAATTGTAAGTTAGAAAAGAGTTGTATAAGTGCATACAATGCTAAAAATAGGTTACTATCCGTTTGGTAACACGGGTGTGTTTGGTAACGTTTACGTTTTCAGTTTATATTTACAAAAATTTTATAAATTGGTTTTTGTTTAATTTTTGTTTATTTTTAGAAAAACATAAACTACAAACACGTTTGGTAATAATTGACAAAATGTTTTAAAAAATTTAAAAATATAAAAAAGAGTGAGAAATGGCAAGTGGTGGCAAGTGGCGACGGAAGACGGTGGTGGAAAGTGGTGACAGTGGGTGGTGGGTAGCTGGAGGTAGTAGGTGGTAGCGGGTGGGTGGTGATGGTGGTGGTAGGTTGGTGGGTGACGGTGGCGAGGGGTGGGTGGTAGCGAATGGGTAATGGTGGTAGTGGTGGCGAGTGGTGGGTGGTGGTGGTGGCAGGTGGGTGGTGGATGGCGAGTGGTGGTGGCAGGTAGATGGTGAGTGATGGTGGCAGGTGGTGGTCGGGGGTAGTGGTGGTGGCGGCGACGGAGGGGGGGG